AGCCCTTTTTGTTAAAAATGTGAAGGGCACCATATTACATTTTAAGATGTTTTTAATGTCTTTGTTAACAGGAGAAATGGAACTCATGCAGCTTATTCCTCTTTTCAGTCTTAGGTTATGGTGTTCTAGAATAAATAAATCTGGTCTCAAACCAATATGGGCTCTTAAAAAGAAAGAGCATTTTATTAACCTTTCAGATATCTATAGTTTTCTTTGCCCAGCTTGTGTGTGCTATCTAAATATTCTGAAAAGCTGTAGGACCAGAACCCAACAATCCACATCTCAGCTGTGCAGATCTAATGAAGCTGAAGTAGGGCTTCCGGTGGGGTTTACAGCACTGCTCACTTTAACTGGGTGACTGCAGACAGGCTTCGTAACATTAGCAATAGAATAAACTCAAACACATACCCAAGACTGTTTGCTACAGACTCCAATACCTAAGAACCTGACAGTTTTGTTTAGTAGGCTGCTATAGAATACATTAACCTCTGCGGCTTGCTCTTTTTAAAGACGGTCTCAGGGCACTGAACTGACAGTACTGCCTGGTGCTGGTATTTCCAGTATGCACTACATGCCTGATTTGCATTAACATTTCAATATTTAGTTCATGGTTGATGTTCTGTGGAAGAGCTTTGACTATGTTAACATATATTAAAACTTAGTTGCCCAAACAGTTATTCATTGCCACACAAAACAAATATACACAGAAAACTAAAGGAAAAAAAAAAAAAAAAAACCAACCCAAAAACCAGAATGCATGAAATCCAATGGGGAGGGGTGGGTATGGGAGGGTGTCAATGGAGAAGGGGGTACAAAGATGATTAAAATGTTTGTGTGAAATACACAAAAATGCAATAAAAATGTACACAAAAAAGAAGAAAATTAAGAGATCGGGAAAGGAGCTGTTCTGAAAAGAACCTTCCTCATAGGAAAGCAATGATTAGTTCTTACATGAGATTTCTGACAAAAGCCTCAAAGCAGGTCATTCTGCAGAGGGGAGACTTACACAAAGGCCCTCTCCACTGGCTTCCCAGGAGCAGAGGGGACAGTTTCAGAACCTACAAATAACTTCCCAGTTACTATAGCATCATATGTCATTTCTGAGTGGTTTTCAGTTACTTACATGTCAGTTTTACTGTGGTCTGTATAAGGAAAGCAATGAACAAGTGTTCCAGTTATCTCGACTTTTCCCTCTCAAATTTACAGAAATCAAGCAGTAACAATGGCAAAAACAAACCACCTTCGGCAGGAGTTAGGATAAATTCAAACCTCATTTCAATTTATTGTCAGCTTAAATTTGTAGCTTCTTGCTTGCTCAAAGAATGATATTCATTAATGAGAGAAACATCACTAACCCCAAATTTGCTTAAAAACAAAAACAAAAACCTTGACAGTTGACAACAAGGGACACACTGACATAAGGCACCGCTGTGCTTCTCTCCTGTGGTGGATACACAGTGCCCCCTACTGCACAACAGTGGGGATGTCCAACAGGCTTATGCACCCAAACCAAGAAAGGCAGAGGAAAAGGAAAGTTTAGGGGAATTCCAGCACATTACCTTTACACATATTTGTAAACTCTCTACGTGTGGTGAACTCCATTATTTTGCATAACCCTATGGTGCTCAGTCAGGTCCTTTTCTGTCCCATCCTTGGTCCCAGCTTGGAATAATACCGGGGCAGGTCCCTAAATTAAATCTGGAAAGCCTTTCCTCTGCCCCTTCGCTCATCAGGGAACAGCACAAAGATGACTGGGAGGGGGGCGCTCTGATACTCCTCACAACCACCTTAACACAAAGCAGAGACTTGCTTTGACTTTTCCCATGCTGGCACTGAGAAAAGAGACAGACAGAAAAGAAAGAAAAGAAAAGAAAAGAAAAGAAAAGAAAAGAATGAAAAGAAAAGCTGCATCAGTTGCCAAGAGAGTGCAGTTTGCATAAGGAAGTGCAAAGTTCTCAACTTTTAATATGGTCTAAGATTTGTATTAAAGGCATAATGACCCAAAATAAACAAGGAAAGATGATTAAGAATTGAGGCATTTTTTAAAAAAAGGCACTGAAATATACTTTCCACAGTGAACCAACAGTCAGAACCCACTTTGCTTAAGATTGTTATGACATCTATTTATAGTAGATAATATAATTTCAAACTGTTTTGAAATATCATCAGTTCCCTAACTAAGAGTTTTAAAAGCATTTCCCTGGTGTTCCTTTTCTTTATTTAGGACTTCACTCTGCAGCTCAGGCAATCCTTCCCTCCTGGTATTTTCCAGCTTCAGTCTCCTAAAACTACTAGGACTCAGGTGTGAGCTACCAGCCTATGATGACCTAACCTATGTTTTGCTATTTGTATTTTTAATTAATTAGTGTCCTTAGTAATGAAGGCTTAAAATGCTAACTTCAGGATGTAACTGGATGAAATAATTATAGAGCAGCTGAATAAAAAACCAACTGGTGTTTTGAAAGAAAAAGAATGTGCTTCATGCACAGTTTATGGAAGCTTGCTTCTAAAAGCAAACTTGGAGCGCCCTCTAGTGCAAACTGGTGACAAGCTTAAAGCTGGTTTAGAAAACTCCTGTAATATTTCTACAACACTGATACCTGGGCCAAAAAAGTTCATTAGGCAGGCTATACTCTCCAAACTTATTCTTAAAATGCTCCCGTCAACACACAGAAGAGAAAGCATTTCCCACAGTGCAGCAGGAAAAGGTGTATTGTGTTACCTGAAAAACTGCATGTCAATTTTTAAAGGCAGACACAAGCAGCATGTTTGAATATGGTGTGACAGTAACGCTACTCTGCGCTGGAGAAGTCCACCTGGCGATAACACAACTCAACATGGAAGTGAATAGAATCACTTCGGTAAATGATTCCTGAGGTTAAAGAGTCACCCCAGAAGTGAGCTTATGAAAGACGCATGAGAACTACTTTCAAGTTAGAATTCTCTCCAAACACATCATAATGCTTTACAAACTGTCAAATTGATAAAGAACCTCTGTGACACCCCAATAGTGTCTTTCTGACTTGGTTATTACAGACTTGCCTGAGTTTAACAGGAATATGGCAGCCCAGATGCAAATTCAACCACAGATAATGTTTCCCAGGGAACAAGTAAAAATGAATATATGAAACTTCACAGTACATGGGTTGACAGTGTTAACATACTAATAATCAGAGGACACTCAATGTGTCTCATTACATTCTGGCTATCATAATGGGAGACATACTATAGTATAATATATGATAAAATATAAGATATATTTATATGAGATCAATTAAACAGTAAGTTGAAAATCTGTTTTCTGCAGAAGGTTGAGGAAACTTGGATTATTAGTTTAAAGAAGAAAGGACTACAGAAGAGCGTTAACATCCACTAATCCAACCGTGATTTCTGGAACACTTTAAGTGCTGGTTGAGGCTCTGGGCCATGGTGCTAAAGGACAGACAAGGCTTGTTCTCACAGGCCTTGCACTAACCGGTTTCAGCATCTAACAGGGGCTCAATAAATACGTGTAGGATTAAATAAACACCTTCAACCAATATAAAGAAAGCAGATGAAGTAACAAGTAGAAAGAGGACAAAGCACATGCAGGCCAGACACGAGCCTTCCCAAGAAAACACTAAGCTCAGACAGTAACCAATGTTAGCCTTGCAAGGATCTGACCACTTTTTAGAAAAAGAAACAAGGGCACTTGCCTAGAGCCATGAGGTTTCTGACAAGCAGACAGAAGAGTCTGGGAAACCACAACATAATAAAGAAGATTTTTTTTGTGTTGGTGGTGGTGGCTTCAAACAGGGACAGTTGAAAACACAGAACTGTGAAGTCTGTGATCTCTTCTGGGTGAGATTTATAAGGTTTTGAAATGTGAGACAGGCCAGAAGTACTCTGAATTCTAGGGCTAGGGCTTGAGAGACCGCGTGGACAATTCTATCATTGCCTGAGATGGGATAACAAGGCGAGAAGCAGGGTTTTAGGGACGTAGAAAGGAAGAAAGAAACTTTTGTAACTGGCCATATATAATCCAGATTTCAAGGAAGCAGGTGGCTATTTCAATTTGAAGTTCATGGAATGAACTGACATCTAGAGTTTTAGGCTTAGAGGCTGTATTTAAAGACCTGGGGTGAAGATCTGATGGATGGTGTGCACTTGAATCTTAGCACTCAGATAGCAAGTCTGAGGGAGTCTGAACTACAGGGTGAAACCCTCTTTAAACACATAAGCAAACACATGGGTTAAAGAGTTACCAGGACGGAACACTGCCATGGTGGTGCACACTTTTAATCTTGGCACTCAGGAGGCCGAGGCTAGTGAATCTCTGTGAGATGTAGGCCAGCCAATTCCAGGCCAGTTGGGGCAATGGGGAGAGAAAGACACTTGTCTCAAAAATCTCAAAAAGACTAAAAAAGGAGTTATGAGGAAGAATGGAGGCTGGAATGATTATTCCTCGTACTCCAAAGGGGAAATTAAACCACCAGAAAGCTGTTCAAGTGAGCAAACAGACGGTACCGGAGAAGGGACACTTTAGGAGAGCTGCTCAGGAAAAGGCTGGCTCTGCTGTATAGGCTCTGCCTCCCATTCAGAGGTACTGCATGCAGAGTGGGGCTTGAGATCACAACCAGGCTTCCTGTCAGAGTGTCTAACACATGATGAGCATCTTGCTGAGTGTCCTGACAATGCCTCATTAAAAGGGATTTAGAAGCACTTAGGGCCAGTGAGGGGATTAATACTTTCCGGGTGGGCCTGAAGACCAGAGTTCCATTCCCAGGACCCATGTGGTAGAAGGAGAGAATCAATTCTTACACATGCACCAAGGCACATGTGGGTGCACACACACACACAGACACACACACACAGACACACACACAAATAAAGAAATAAAATTACTTCTAAATATCTATACTTTATATATATACCTTATTTTGTTAATAAGCAAACTCAGGATTAAAAGATAAAACCACTTCATCTAAAACATCTATCTTCTAATGTTAATAGTCTGTTACCTGTTTTTGTTAACAAAAGGTTATCCAGGTGCCGGTCTCCAACTCCAAGGATGTATGTGATGACACAGTACCCAGCTGCAACAGCAATGAAAGGTTAGGAACACACACTCAGCTCCAAGAGACGGAGCCCAGTGAACAGAAAAGCTGCTTTACTTTCCACTTGGTTTTACTGTCAATGATTACCCCATAACGTCTCAAGCTGCTGCCTCGCTGGCTTCCTTAGTTATTATTCTGAACTCAGGGAAATTAGTGTTTGCAGTAACAACAGCTGTAGTCCCAGCTGGCCAGGAACTCACCAACATAGACCAAGCTGGCCTCAGTCTCACAGAGGTCTGCCCGCCTCTGCTTCCTGAGTGCTGGGATTAAAGGTGTGCACCACCACACCTGCCTGGCACAACAAAAATCTTCAAGAATTTTGTCAAATTATCAAAGCTTTTTCCTATTAAAAGCTAAATTAAGCTTCAAGAACCTTAATTAAAAGCATTTCTCATTTCAAACAAAACAAGCTAAAAATAATGAAATTTTTTTATCTAAATAAATATATAAGGTAAACTGTCAATCATTCCATAACCCATAACTATGTTACTTATTTATAAGATGACAAACATGCACACAGGTTTTTAATGAATAAAGTTTATAGAGAAAGAATCTTTTTTTCTTTTTTTTTGTCTTTTTGAGACAGGATCTCCCTGTAGCCCCCGCTGTCCTGGAACTCACTATGTAGACCAGGTTGGCCTGCCTCTGCCTCCCAGTGCTGGGATCAAAGGCGTGTGCCACCACGCCTGGCTGCTAGAGAATCTTGATGTGCTAGCACAAAAAATAAAATGTTCTCACTTGAGTGGTCAAGGCCGCTGCCGAGCCCACACATACCAAGATTGTCTGCAGCACTGAGGCTGTAGTAGAGGCCCGCAGCGTCACAGCATCTGACTTTTCTACTTATCTCTCCTCTAAAAGCCTGGACAGCAGCCATTTACTGAGACTGTGAACACCATTTAGCACAGTGTCTGTTTTTAAACTTATTTTTCCTACTGTTTATTTATTCTACCAGTATCCTAACAATACAACTTGTAAACATATAAAACTGCAAGTTTTTGCAAAACTATAGTACTGTATTATAATAGTGTTTATAAAGCCATGCTTATTTTAGTGCGGCTGTAGAAACAAGACAGTCATTACTGGTGAACAACATCGGCCTGTTCAAATTCAGTCCTTATTAAGGTTCATGTAACTCAAGAGTTCATGAGGGGCAAAAATATTTGAAATACTACCTCAAGAATATGGTGAAAAAGTATTGTGTATAATAGAAGCAATTTCTAAACCCTAAAATACCCAAGTATAAGTAAGTTGCTAAATGGGGAGAAAGCCTTCTTGTCTCTACCCATAGCTTTGTTTCATTTAAAAAATGGCATAAAATGGGCATAACCCTAAATTTATAGAAACAGGTACACTGTTATCAAAGTTAGTCCTTAAAAAATTCTTGTTATAAAACTGGCCTTAAATGACAACTAATTCTTACAAACAGAAGTTTCGTGGCAACAGGCACTGTGAGGGAAACTAAAGCAACCTGGATGCACTGTCTACTTTCAGGAACCCCAGTAACTCCAAACACCATAAGAGTCACCTTCCAAACACAGAATGGTATTCTGACTGAGGCTTTCCCCATAATTTACTTAATTATAATTATTCAAAACAAGGAGAATACAGCAAGATTTAATAGGCTCCAAGAAGAGACAACTTATTAGTATAAAATAGTTAAGAGAGTTTAACAGCTATATCTATTAAGACTAAACCAACTCACACCTGGTTACTACTACTATTTTAAAAGATCAGTGATTTCTTTCACCAACATTTCATATCCTTTCCTCTCTTTCTTGTAAAAGATTCAGCTCTCACCACAGCTTTTGACGTAAGTGTCCATGACTTCTGCACTGATGCCGTTGGGCCCAGTCTCACTTGGGGCATACTTTCTAAAAAAGTTCTGAAAAGACATGACACATTTAAGGCAAGTTAGGCATTATGAAATCATGACTAATGACCAAGTATTCACTCCAAAACTTGGTGAAAGTCTGAGGTTGACTGAACAGAGCAATGGCAGAGCGTCCACAGAGACTAGAGACCATACCAGGGGGACCTACCTATTCCTTTATTTTGAGAGGTTAGAGAAAAATACACAAAACACATGATTGAACAAGTCCGACCAATGCACTTAAACAGGCTTCTGCTTTCAGCTTTTTGAACACCACAAGCATCTGACAAAGGATCTGTATTTAGAACACATAAAGAATTCCTATTAACTAATCAAAACACAAATGAGAAGCATAGGCAAAATGAGGGGAACTTCACAGGGGACCCTAGTGCCATTAGGGAAAACCTTAAGATTACAAGGGCCAGAAATTGCACCTGTGCAGGTCATCAGAGGAGACAGACAAGGGGCAGAGGAGACAGAAGGTGAAACTGCCCATCTACTTCCACATTCAAGTAAAGCTGAAGAAAAGTGGCCTATGACCCACCCACTACACCGTCTACACAGAGCAGATATGGCTCAAGGCTCAGGATACCCTGGAAGAATCTTCATTTAATAAACTTAAGACAAGACTTGGTTTATGAAACCACGATGGGAACAGACCTGGAAATCTGGCTTGCTAGAAGGCCCCACACTCCCACCAAGCACACAGTTGTGGACCATGACTACAGTTTCTTACAGCTAAAGGACATACAACAGGACCAGATGGAAGGAAGGGCACAGAATGATCTGGAAGTGTTCATATACTGGCTCCTCCTAACTATCTTCTAAGGGAACAAAATAAGCATTATTCCCGACTAGTAGGAAAAAAAAAAAACCTCAAAAATCTAAAAATTGCCACAATATGGGTAAAATTGTAGAAAAGATGTTTGAGCAAGAATTTCAGTGGAGAATTGTTCTAAGTAAGAACAAAAATTGGAAATAACTAAAGTATCAATCAATTAATAGCTAAATAACTTACAGAATTTCCTTTCTTCTTTTTCTTGGAGGCAGGTTCTCCCTGTAGCCCCAACAGTACTGAAATTCATCATGTAGACCAGGCTACCCTCGATCTCAAACAGATATGCCTGTCTCTACTTCCGATCTCACACAGATATGCCTGTCTCTACTTCCCGATAGAGGATTAAAGGCACGCACCACCAAACTTGGCAATATTTCCGTATTTTGAAGCATAAAGTAGCCATAAGCTTTAATGTGCATGTGTGTAGTGAACTTGTTTTCTTAAGTGTTCACAGATAATTACTGGGCCCCAGTTATGTGACATGTACTTTTCAAAGACCTGAGCATTCACATGACTAACAGTGTTTCCAGTTACATACAAAGTTCACTAATGAAGAAAAAAACTCTGAAGGAAGACTTGAATTTTGAGAGGCTTTATTCAAGAGCTGTGTGAATGTTTCATGTTGACACTAACCTGAATGCTGCCCTCAGTATCAAGAACTTCAGCGACAGGAACTGACTGGATGAACTGCATGAAGCCTGTATGGAAAGAACACACTGCATTAAGAGCCCACTGTGTGCTCCCCAACCTCCAAGCCAGGAAGGTCTGCTGCTCTACCTTAAGAGCCCACTGGATGCTCCCCAACCTCCAAGCCAGGAAGGTCTGGTGCTCCACATTAGGCTGGTTAGCCAGAGGAAGCTGAGGTCTGCTGAGAATGCCTCCCACCAGTAACTCTACATCCCAGCTCCCAATGAAGGAACGTCTGTGAGCACTGTGCTAGCTTCAAGCTGGCACTGACATCAGTTACTAATAGGAAGGTTTTGTCCATTAAAGTGATTAATCTTTATGTTTCTTTCTCTAGAAGAATTTCTTTTTTTTTTCTTTTTGAGATAAAGTCTCCCTGTAGCCCCAGCTGGCCTGGAATTCGCTATGTAGACAAGGCTAGCCTTGAACTCACAGAGATCCACCAGCCTCTGCCTCCCAGTGTTGGGATTAAAGGCATGCAGCACTACACGTGGCCTAAAGATTTATTCTTATTTTGCGTGTATGAGTGTTTACCTATGTGTATATAAGTATATCATGTGTACACAAGTAGATCACATGTACACAGTCCCAAGAAAGCCAGAAAAGGGTATCTGATGCCCTGGAACTGGAGTTACAGATGGTTATGGGTCATCTGTGGATGCCCAGAGCCCTTCAAACAGTTCAGGGGAGGACACAGAGAGCAAAAGGGAGAGAGGGGAGGGGACAGACAGACAGCAGGGGAAGCGGAAGGCAACCCCAACCCACTGCTCCTCACTGCTTCGACTGACAAATTCAACCTCTGACATTCTTAAGGGTTTTCAATTTAAAAGGAAAAGTGTTTGCTGGATTTGCCAAATAAAATAATACCATTGTTGTTTTTGGTAAATACTTTTTAATTTGGCAATAAACTTTCTAATTAGACTTTTAACCTTTAAAATAAACAAGTAGCCGGGCGTGGTGGCGCACACCTTTAATCCCAGCACTCGGGAAGCAGAGACAGGTGGATCCTCTGTGAGTTCAAGGCCAGCCTGGTCTACAGAGTGAGTTCCAGGCAGCTGGAGCTACAGGGAGACCCTGTCTCAAAAAGACCAAAAAAAAAAAGAAACAAATAAAAATATCAACAACTGGGTACTGAAGAAAGGAATCATGATGTAAGAGAAACTCACCGTGTTTCGTACTGGTAGCTAGTACCTTATAAGGTGTCAATTTCAAGTCCAGGTTTTCTTTCCTTAACAGCTTTTGATTAAAAGATAAAACACATTAAGTGAATGTAAAGATCATTGGAAACAATTTCCGGGCTAAATCTCACAGCGGTATTATGTAACGAAGACTCAGGAGGAAATCCCGATTTAACTTTAGTGTGTCATGTAACTTTCTGTGTCAAAATGAATTTATTTGTCTCCAGCACTACGACACAGTTGGTTAAACCCACCAGCTGTAGATGGGCAGTGCTGTTCCTCTTGCTGCTTTATGCTGACGTTTCTGAACATAAAGCGATTTAGAATCCAGAAACAAAGAACAGAGGGAAGCGTGTTTTTTTGAAGGTCAGAGACTGGGCTAGTACTTTTTAAAGATCTAATGACACAGTGAGAACTTTACAAAAATGACTGCACAAAGCACAGGGAATTTCACACTCACCATAAGGGCCACGCTGAAGTGACAAAAATGAACTTGTTCAAGGTCAAGTGAAGACTGCTACGCTTTCTGCATGGTAACTGAATGACACAAGTACTACTGTGTCTGTTAGCAGACATGCTAACCCACATTCTGTAAATGAAACAGTGCCCCCACCAACATAAAGCCAGGCACCTTGTCCATGAGGGAGATGATCTGAAGAATAAGCTGGTCTTGACGCAGGTCATCCCCATGCTTGAATATAACTGGGTACTTGCCTCCATCTTCTGTCTTAAAGAACAACTGAGCAGGCATAAGAGCACTCTGCAAGAGAAAAATACTGCCTGTAGACTGGGGTGGTAATGGAGGCAAGAAGGCTGACTATAGAGAGGAAATGATGACATTCAGCTAACCACAAGATACATGGGACATAATGAAATAAGATGCATGGTCAATAAGACATTCAGGATGCCACACAGGGAACCATGAATGAGCCAACAGTCAGCAGGCTCTCTGGTAGAAAGACCATGCATGGGCTTTAGAATCTGACCACATGGACAGGAATCCTACCCTGCCCGGTAACCAGCAGAGTGACCCTGTGCGGATTCTTTAACTTGTGCTGATTCATAGCTGCCTCTACATGTGCCCACCATCTTGCTTTTGTTACTAGATATGCTAAAGCAGTAAGGGAAACAATGCCATTCACAAATGTGGAAGATGAAAAGTCAAAAATGCTGGGTTTTAATGGCAACTACGTGCAGCTAGCTGTGAAGACTCAAAAATCTTCATTTATAAATTGAGATCTCAAATATCTACACCTCTTACTCTGAAATAATGATCTGCTTTCCTTCAGAATTTCCCTTAATTACATGAAACCTGTACACTAGGTTAGATACATGCTTAAATCAAAAATTAAAAGGGTCTCAGCACTTGGGAGGCAAAGGTGGGTGAATCTCGACCTTGGTCTACATAGCAAGTTCTAGGTCAGCTAGGGAAAACCTGTCTCAAAAATGCAAAATAATAATAATAATAATAACAATAATATTAATAATAACAAAAATAATAATAAATATAAAGGAATGTGTGCACTGCCTTCTACATCAGCACTTTCCAATTGTAGGTCATAAAAATGAACGTTTTTTATGTTGCAAGTTGTAACTTATAACGAAATCTAAAACTGGTTAAATGAGCAGTAAGAAAAAATTGTAAATTAAGACAATATAAAGGCTACTGTGGCTCACTGGTGGAGCCCTTGGTCACCATGCTGCTCAGGACATGCTGGGGTGGTGCACACCTGTAAGCCAACACCCAGGTAATCAAACGCCAAGGTCACCCTGGCAACTCAGTGAAACTCAGTCTCAAGGGAAAATAAAAAGAGGAGGGGGACCTAAGGCAATTCTTTAAAGGGTAAAAACTCATTCAATTTTATGTCTTACAGGGTTTATATTGAGTTCAATATTGTATGACTGTATTAATTCAACTGTGAACCTAAAAATTTACATCCACCTTTGAAAGAGATGTATCCTTGCTCTGGAATGTGTTACTGAATATGTTAAAGCTGTAATGAAATGCTTCTTCTAATAATGAAGTTATTAAATTTTAAAAAAATTAAAAAAAATTTTTAAAACACCAAAGCTACCAGTGCGATTATATTGTATGAGGAAATTGTTTAACTGTCTCACCTGTGTGAGCTCAGCTGAAACAGATGCTCTACGCACCTCTGATGAAACAGTCCCATGGTAGTTAGACTTCCACCTCCATGAGAAGCTGTACTGTGAACCCTTTCTTATTCAGTACAAAGCAAAGTTCGATGCTGCTTAGCCCTTGTGTTTCCAGAATCACAAAGCCCTAGACTCGGTCTTTCCCAGGACCCTGTGCGAAGCGCAGCAGAGTGAGCCCTGGAGGTGCACTGTCAGTTTCTGGCTGTTTAGCCCAATTCTACTTGCATCTACCTGGCTGGTAGGCAACTAAGAGAGTTGGGCATGTCACCTAGGCATAAGGAAACTGCCAACTGGGTATGTAAGGAAAGCAATGTAAGGTACACACAAACGGGTACTGAGCTGAGAAAAGTTAAGGTGGGGGGTAAATGAATCTTATATCTAAACATTAGAACTTATGAACTGAATGTACTGTAAGCTTTGAAATCTACCTGTTAAAGAAATACCCCATGTGGATAAAATTGTGATGTCGACTAGTCTTCAAAGTAAATATTAAAAATAAAACCCCAGAGACATAAAAATATTTGACATAGTTTCATTAAAAATGCCTCTACAATCATAACACAAAGGATCTTAAAATACACTAAGAAAAAGGCATCTTTTGACCTAACATTTACTAAATCAAATGATCAAATGGAGATACTTTCTGAAATGCTCTCGTTTTCCTGGGCGGCAATTCTGCTCTGACTAAAGCACTAGATTCCAGCTGTGCACATAGACCCGTCACCGTTACCTTAAACAGTGTAGCTGTTTCCGGGACGATTCCTCTTATTTTCACCTGTGGCTCTAAGGGCAATGGGATCAGCTCCACATCTGACAAATTCATCTTTTCATTATCTCCAAGCAATGCTTGTAGTCTTTCATTCTAGAACAAGTGAGTAATGAAATGGAGATGGGAGAAATTTATACGCATAATAAAGGCATAAAACTGATGCTATTAACTCTATCTGCAAAACACCATACAAGTCTATGAAAAGTGTCATGAAGCACAGAGCACTCTAGAAGCAGAAGCGTCTCATGAACAGCCCACTTAGCTACAGTACCAGCATGCTTCGAGAGGAGTCCCCACGTAAGCAAAGCTAGACTTTCACGGAGGGGCAGGGAGTGCATTCTTGCTCTGCTGGGGAAAGTCAGGACTATATTCAAGCTGAACTCCAAGATCCCAGTTATCTTTCCAAAGGGTTAATGAAGCCAAAGAAAAGAACTGTAATTTCATTGAAGCTTAATTATGCATGACTGAATCAAGTACTCCACCATGCTAGGTTAATTCATTTGGAAGAAACCTCTAATGGGGTCTCATTTTCTTTAGCTCATATCCATACTGGACAGAACACAGATCTGAGAATGTGAGAAATCTAAGTCAGCTTTATGTCTACTAGAGCCCTTCCATTCAATTTCAAAACAATCTGTTTCCTCTGAAGCTAGGGTGTCTTGCATTCTTTAAAGACTGAGCCTGTGCTTTAAGAGGGAAAACCTGATTTACATTTCCAGTGTCATGAAGTACTTAAATCATGATACTAGATATATGCAACAAAGGAGAAAGTTCTAGAATTAGTGAGAAATGGAAGGTAAAATAGTATTTTATGGACTACTAAGCATAAAATTCTTTCCTTCAGTAATGCTCCAAGGCCTATGAATGATGGCATGTTCAAGTTAAAATCAATTCCAAACTGGCACGAATCTGCTTATGCACCTTCTTAAAGCTCATAAACAATACCTTAATTAAATGGAGGACAGATACTCAAGGGAAGCGCCAATTAAATTCCAAGTCAGTCTATCCTACCCAACCTACTTCTTTTTATTCTACATGAAGCTGACAGTAAATAATCAGAATCCCTCTCTGCCCCAGGCACTTGCCATCACCCACTGTCATCCCCAGGACTGCTCCTCCTAATCTTCTGTATCCCAAGGTGCCATCAAAACAAAGCCCTTTGCTGCTGTTGGGCTACAAGGCACAGGTAGCAGGGCAGCGTGGCAGCTCGCCCTCTGCTGGTGGGCACAGGACACAACACTGCCTCTTACCAGGCAGGTTGGGAGAGGGGCACAGGGTAGGGTGATGGTGGGATTCAGATAACTATGGTCTTGAGTCTTCTCAACAACAAAGAAAATGCCAGTTCAATAAAACTATTTTCTTCTCTAACCAGGTGAGTAACTGTTTCTGCTCTTATCTCTATTACCATTTAAATCTGATTTCTTGCTTTTTTAACTTGTCTCAATTCTTTATCTTTTCCTGTCATAAATCTAGAGAATATTAAGATGTGCTGTGATGTTATCATAATAATTAATATCCTACAGAATAATACTAAGTAAGATGTGTTGTGGTGTTTGAAAAATGCCACCAAGAAAGATCAGCCTATTATCTAACAGGATTAGAGGGATACCAAGTAAATCCTTGATATCACTGAAGTTACTGACCAGGAAAACACAATGTTTAAAGAAT